CGGGGCGGCCGGGCACGGTGGAGGCACCGGGAGAGGGGGAAGGGGACAGGGGCTGGGGGACAAAGGGACCGGGTGGGCGGGAGTGGGGACGGGGCTGGCGACACCCGTGTGGGGGCTGTGGGAGCCCGAAGGGTCCCGTGGGGGCACCCAGGGCCCGGGGGCTGCAGGGGGGGCAGCGGGGGTCCCGTCCCACCCGGAGCCGCCCCGGCAGGGCCCAGGTGAGAGCGAGTACTCGGAGCCCTTCGAGGGGGAGCAGGACCCCGCGCCCGAGGGCGGCTGCGACGAGGAGGTCACAGGTGGGTGGTGACACCCCGGGGCACCCCCGGCACCCCCGCGGGGGTCCCGGGCGCCTCCCACCGCCCCCTTCCCCGTCGCCAGGGTGCCCGCGGCAGGGCGAGGGCCGGCGGGTGCGGCCGCGCCGGGGTCCCCAACTCTACGACACCCCCTCCGAGGAGTGGGACACGGCCGGGGACGGCCCGGGGGGACCCCCGGCCCGCGAGAGCCGCCTCCCCCGCGACGACGAGCGCCCGGCCGACGAGTACGACCAGCCCTGGGAGTGGAAGAAGGACCACATCTCACGGGCGTTCGCAGGTGACGGCGTCCCCGGTGCCACCTCGGGCGGGCACAGCTGCCCTGGGTGCCGCTCCTGGCTCCCCCCTCCTTGTGGGGACCACCCCAGGGTCCCCCAACCCCACATCCCGCGGGGTCAGTCCTGGGCCTCAGCATCCCCCAGCATCCCGGGGTCCCCAATGTCCCCCAGTGCCACCCCAACCCCCTGAGCCCCCCGTGGGTACCCCCCGGAGCCCTGCTGGCCGCGGCAACGGGACACCAGGGCAGGGCAGGGCCACCTGTGGGACTGTCCTTTGGCGGCAGCGCGGGCGGGGCGGGTGACGCCCCTTTGTCCCCGCAGTGCAGTTCGAGAGCCCCGAGCGCTCCCCCGGCCTGTCCCGGCCGCTGCCGCGCTCCCCCCGCGGCCCCCGGCCCGCCTGCCCCCCCAGCCCCCGGCACGTGGACACCTCGCTGCCCCTCGAGAAGCAGGCGTGAGTCTGGGGGCGTCCCTGGGGTGGCACCAGCATGCCGGGCACACCTGCGGGGAGAAGGTCCCCCAGGGTGGGTCCCTGTGGGGTCAGGGGTGTCCCTTGGTGTGGCCCAGTGGGCCCTTGGACAGGGATGGGTCCCCAGGGGTTGTGGAGTGCACAGTGTCCTGCGTGAATGCCCATGGGGCTGGGTGCCCCATGGCAGGGTTGGGTGCCCCACAGGATGGTTGGGTGCCCCATGGTGGGGTTAGGTACCCCATGGCAGGGTTGGGTTCCCCATGGCGGGGTTGGATGCCCTGTGGCACGGTTGGGTGCCTCACAGGATGGTTGGGTGCCCCATGGTGGGGTTGGGTGCCCCATGGCAGGGTTGGATTCCCCATGGTGGGGTTGGATGCCCTGTGGCATGGTTGGGTGCCTCACAGGATGGTTGGGTGCCCCATGGAATGGTTGGGTGCCCCATGGCAGGGTTGGGTACCCCATAGGATGTGTAGGTGCCCCATGGCATGCTTGGGTGCCCCATGACATGATTGGGTTCCCCATGGCATGGCTGGGTGCCCCATGGGGTGGCTGGGTGCCCCATGGCATGGCTGGGTGCCCCATGGCATGGTTGGATGCCCCATAGGATATTTAGGTGCCCCATGGCGGGGTTGGGTCCCCCATGGCATGGCAGGGTTCCCCGTGGTGCAGGGGGTGCCCCATGGCATGGCTGGGTGCCCCGTGGCGTGGCTGGGTGCCCCGTGGCACAGGGGGTGCCCCATGGCATGGCAGGGTTCCCTGTGGCACAGGGGGTGCCCCATGGCATGGTTGGGTGCCCCGTGGCGTGGCTGGGTGCCCTGTGGCACAGGGGGTGCCCCATGGCATGGCTGGGTGCCCCGTGGCGTGGCTGGGTGCCCGTGGCACAGGGGCACCCCGGTGACCCCGCTGTGCCCAGCTGGTACCACGGCCCCATCGGGCGGGCGGGCGCCGAGACGCTGCTGGCGCTGTGCCGCGAGGGCAGCTTCCTGGTGCGCGACTGCGAGACCAGCCCCGACGACTACTCGCTGTCCCTCAGGTGAGCGTGGGGACGCGGGCACACCCTGCCAGGGGCCGTGCCAGGCTGGGAGCACGGGCTGGGTCCAGGGGCTCCTGTCCCAGCAGCCGTGGGGATGTGCTGGCGTGTCCCCATGCATGGCACAGGCTGGAGGTGACCGGGATCCCTCACTGGGGTAGTGCCACCCCTGCCCCTGCTCTGGATGGGGTCCCCATCCCTGTCCTCGTCCCCACTGCTGTCCTCATCTGTGCCCCAATCTCCACCCCAGTCCTCATCCCCATCCCCATCCCTATCCGTGTCCCCCTCCCTGTCCCAGCCTCCACCCTGCTCCTCATCCCTGTCCCCATCCTCATCCCTGTCCAGATCCGCACCTTATCCCAATCCCAATCCCCATCCCATCCCATCCCATCCCATCCCATCCCATCCCATCCCATCCCATCCCATCCCATCCCATTCCATTATCCCGTTCTCGTCCTCGTCCCCGTTCCCATCCCCATCCCCATTCCCTTCCCCGTTCCGGTTCCCATCCCCGTTCCCATCCCCGTTCCGTTCCCCTTCCCACCCCCGTTCCCATCCCTGTTCCCGTTCCCATCCCCGTTCCCGTTCCGTTCCCGTCCTCGTTCCCGTTCCCATCCCCGTTCCCATCCCCGTCCCCGTTCCCGTTCCCGTTCCGTTCCGTTCCCGTGCCTCATTTCCCGCCGGTCCCGCAGGAGCAGCCAGGGTTTCGTGCACGTGAAGCTGACGCGGACCCGGGAGCAGCACTTCACGCTGGGCCGGGCCGGGGCCGCCTTCCCGTCGGTACCGGCGGCCGTGGGGCACTACACGGCGCGGGCGCTGCCCGTGCGCGGCGCCCGCCACCTGTCCCTGCTCTACCCGGTGGCCGTGCAGCCCCTGTGAGCCCCGGCCGCGCCCCCGCCCCATTAAACCGCCCTGTCACACCGGGGCGTGACGCTGTGCTGCCTCCGAGGGGGATTTGGGGACGGGGGTTTGGGGATTTGGGGATTTGGGGGCGGGGATTTGGGGACGGGGATTTGGGGGGCGAGGATTTGGGGACGGGGATTTGGGGACGGGGATTTGGGGGGCGAGGA